GCATATTATTACCTATGTTTTACAAGTCTCTACTTGTTAGTTCATGTAATATCTATGTATTGTGTTTGCGCATCATTGAACAGCGGAGCACTGGCTGAAAGTAAATATCACTCATCGCATTTTAGTTTATTTTTTATTTCATCTTTAGAAATAAAATAGTATTTTTTTTCGTAATCATTAAAACTCCCAATGAAACGCTTTATTTTACTTTCATCTTATAATGTAGGAGAACATAAATTAATTGAACCTAACGTGTCCGAATGGATGAGATTGGCCCTACACTTTTAGTTACTTACTAGAAAATAAATTAAATTATTCAAATTTATGATATTCCTGTATGATCTTTTTTATTCATATAAAATTCTATTTTACTATCTCATCCCGGAATTTCCCGGGAAAAGAAATTATTTTTCTCGTAATCCCGCTGGAGGCAAATTTCCCGGGAAATGAGAAACCCTACACGATAATCATCATCATATAATTCTTTAAAATAAGTTATTAATAAAATTTTTGTAATTTTTTCGTCCGATGGTTCTTTTTATTTTTTAATATTTGAAGAGAAGTTCGCCCAAATGCGTTCTAATAATGCATAAAATTTTCGTTTTGATGTAGTTTATTTTTACTTTTATCAGATAAATACTTATATTTAACATTACAATTATTTCATTTATTACATATAATCAACTTTATTTTTTATCATAAGCGAAAAATTACATCCGGTTCCGCAAAGATGGCCATTTTGTTTTATTCGTATTTGCTACATTGTATTAAGCGATAAGATCCTATAAAACAATTACATTAGAGGATCAACTCTTCATCGGGACAAGTCGAATTCTTTCTCGAATCTTCAGTACGAGTTGAAATTCGTCCCAAAGAATCGGGGTTCGCGTTACTCGCTTTTCACTTGTCGATATGGTACCGGAGGATTATATTCACAGGTTTGTGTATCTACTTATGGTTCAAAGAATGATTTTTTCTACAAACAGCATGAAATCAATAAAATAAAAATCTTTTGCATATTGACGTCTTAAAAAAGCCAAAGATATGAAATGTACTTTTATGCGCGTTTTTAATCTAAGATAGCTTCTATTTTGTATTTTTACATTTTATTTTTTGCTTTTTACATTATCATCTACGTATAGATTTTGCTAACAAGCGCTTATTAAGACAGAATAATTTTAAACTAAGTTTCAGCTAAAATCAGTTCAAAGGTCAATAAAAGGAAACTTTTTCTGCCTCGACGGCCATCCTTTTGTAGGTTGAGTCGAAGATGCCAGTCATTTCCCAACTTGTCTACAGGTAATATTTTATGTAACCTTTTAAAGATAACTCCTAAATAAGAGGTCTAACATCTTTTGACCAAAAAATTCAATATAATTTACATCTTTGATTCGGGGCGAAGCAATTTCTTATTTTGTGTAACGATATTTTGACACCACGGTAATATATTCATAGATATTTTATTTTGCAATTCAAATTAATTTCCATCTAGCGAACGAAATTCCTTCCGATCTGACGGTCGTCCCGTTATAGAATATGTCGGCAATAATTAAAAAAAAATCCATCAACGAGTTGCGTAACTTTCCCGGCTATTAAAAATAACTTTTATAGTATATTTTTAACTCCTTACCCCTCGACTTTTAACCATCAAAATTTAATAGCATCAATGCTCCGTATATGTTTACGGGTCAAATTTTTCCCGGTTTTTTTATTCTCTTTTTTTTAAATTGAAGAGTCTCAAAACGTGGAGATTTGAAAAAAGCTCGTAGGGTCAAATTTGACACGATTCCAATACTTATACTATCGATTATTGGATGCGCGGTTAGTCCCGCTTATCCAAGCAGAGTAATCGAGCAAAGAATATACTTGAAATAAAATATGTGTTATAATTATTTTTAAAACTTATTTATTTTTTAAATAATTATAGATTAAGGTGTCATAAATTATTTTTCGATTGAAAAAATATAAACGCTAGGTGGCTAGAAAACACTCGTGCGATCTGCTATTTTACATTTTGCAGCTGTTGCCGAAGGAACGTTATTTACTTATTTTTTTATAATATCGATCAGATACGATGTTATCCGAAGAAGAAGAGAGGTTTGTATTAAAATTAATCTAAATTCGTTTTAAAAAAGGTTTTTTAACTCGCATGTTTCACAAGATAATGGATTTAATCTCAATTTTAGAATCGAATCGATTTGAAATCATTGCTGCTTTTTTTAAATTCCTAATTAAAATGACTAACGAAGAACCAGTTAAGGTTTTTACTCTGATCTTTAACCTGTGTTAAAGGTTTAATTAAAGATACTAAAGGAAAATGCTAGATGTCAAAAACTAAAATTATATCACCACCTGATTAATTGTATTGTATATGAAACCCTTTAATATACAAAAGATCCATACAAATCAAAGAAATTTATTTCGCACAATGTGCTATGTATGTTTTAAAGAATATGTTTAACGCACTGTCTTTCGACCTCCGGAAGGGCTTGCGGGTACCTTTTTTTTTTTTTTCAATTTATTCGGCTGAACGTGTTGCGGTCGGTCTTGACCGTTCTAAAATTTGGAATATCTACGAGAGTCGATAACCGTCCTCTGTGGGGATTACGAACGATCCGTCAAATATAGAGTAACGTGGTAATGTGCTGCCGGGCGATTTGACCGAACCGGAGCTCGAACGTGTCGAGGAAAATCCCGCGGTGGGGTGAATTTTTTTGGCCGGGGAGTAAAGGCCTTTTTGGGACGATACGAGTCTCGTCTTTTGTGGGGTTTGTCTTGCGTTAGTTTGCCTTTGTCTACGGAAATGCCCGTCGGTTGAAGGTAAACGGGCAGACCCCGAGGGCGAGTTACTCGCGCGCCACCCGGGTGGCAAACGTTTATATAACACGTATGAACCCTTACCGAAGAAAGAAAAAAAGAAAGGGTTTCTTGGTACAGAAAATCAAGTAAAAATTTTCAATTTCAACCTACCAAATTTTAACTGTTTTAATAAAATATACACTAAAAAACAGAACTTTCATTAACTGGAGTGTAATTTTTCTCTTTTAGTAAATAATGCCCGATATAATTTTAACATGTGGTTTTCAACCAGTCCGTACTAACTAATGTTTTACACCTTCGAGATGGAAGAAAGGAATTTTACTTGCAAAGGCTAAACATATAGCTGCAATTAAAGAAATTAAAAACAATGGAGGAAGTACAGTACAGTTATAGCCTACTTGCCTACTCCAAATGAAAATTAATGAAAAATCATATTATATTTGTGTTAAGGCATTTTTTTTCACATTTAAATTGTTAATTTGCACTTTTAGATAATTTTATATGTCGGCATTACATCTCTGCAATAAACAAACGGGATGAGTTGCATGACAACGAAACATAATTGTATATCTCTGCTTTTATTAAGCTATATACTGTTGAATTTTTCTTTTATAAAAATATTTCATACATGTTTTAATACAAATGCAAGTTATTTTTAATACAAATTAATTTTCAGTTACCATCAAATAGAAAAATAGTTAAAATGGCAATGTGTATGTGCAAGGGAGGTATCCATGGTCAGTGCAAACATGTAGTAACAATGATTTTTGCATTAAATAATTATAAATATATTGTTTACCGGTGGAAAACAATAGGGAATTCCACAACATTAGAAGATACACGTATCAGATATATGTCACTTTAGTAATTGTGTAATTCCAAAAAGGATAAAAATACCAGCATCGTTATCATCAAAAGCATCAACATTTTTATTATATCAAAGAATAAAACATATTAATTGTGTGCTCTTTCTTAAATGTTGAGAGCTGAATTCGACGAAGATGCACAATGTCAAGTGCTGCTATCTGATTTAATCAACACAGTTCGTGAACAATGTGAGGAATTATATTTAAAATCTTTAATTGCACCCATTATTTGAAAGTAAACATATGAATAATTGTTATAAAATTGTTTAAAAACTACCTACAAAGATAACATTTTTAAATGGATTAAGTTTTTTTAGTTCTATCATTTCAGAAAAATTTTAAAATTTTATAATATGATTATCATAATTCCAAAAATGACTCAAATAGCTTATCTCACAAGAAAACAATGCACATGTCCATACTGGTTCATTTACGTATGATACAGATTAAGCAGCTATATGGCTCATTCTATAAAAACAAGAAAATGCAATTCTGAAAAATTGGTTTTTAGATTTTTAAATAATACATTCAAAGGAACAATTGCAACTGATTATGGAATTAAATTGGAGAAAATTGCAAAAAATTCATTTTTGCTTAAAATAATAATAGAATAATTGATGCAGGAGTTATCATTTGTAATGAAGCTCCCTGGATTTGTGCAAGCCCTGATGGTATATGCAAAAAAGGAGATAAAATAAGCTTACTCGAAATTAAATGCCCTTACACATATAAAGATGAAAAAAATGTTGATTTCAAGACAAATGAAGTACAGTGGTACCTCGGTATATGTCTACTTTAGAATACGCCCAATTCGGAATATGTTCTGTTTGGACAAAACAAATTTTGCTCGGTATACGACTTAATTTAATTCAATTATACATGCCATCTATGAACAAGTAGCACTATTGGTGTAGTAGGCCAGACTAAACGTTCGCGGTGCCACGGTTTATAACTTCGTTAAATTTCTTCTGATTTTAATTTGTAAGCAAAATTTAATTAGTTTTATTAATGATGAATTTCAAAAAGGCAAATGAAAAGCAACAGAAAACTAAAAAATTGACTAGAATCACAATGGAACTGAAAAAAGAGATTGTTAAGAAATATGAAAGCGGTATGCGTGTTCGAGATTTAACTGCTGCATACCGCATTCCGAGAACGACGATATCGACAATCGTGAAAAATGAAGACATTATAAAATCTGCTAACGTTGCGAAAGGGGTTAAATCAATTTCTAAACAGAGACCAAGAATATTAGATCATGTGAGAAATTGCTTTTGCTTTTGATAACTGAAAAACAGTGTGCTGGCAACAGCGTATCAGAACTGACATTAAAAATCACTTGAAATGTGCGAAACATAAGGCAAACCTAGTAGCAACAGAAGCAATTATTTGCAAGAAAGTTAAAAAGATACATGCTGATCTCATGAAGAATCAACCAGGAACTAGCCAGGATAGCGAGGTGTTTAAAGCCAGCCATTTTTTTTTTTTTTACATGAGAACAGATTAATCGTTTTTACATTACTAACGTTACACTATCTGGAATCTGTTACCAGTGGCGTTTGTCAAGCGATATACTATATATACGTATATCGCTTGACAAATGCCAGAAACGGCCCACCCAGTCCAATCTGACACCCAATCCAAACGAAAAATATACACTCCGACCAGGGAGTTTTCAATCGACCTGAAGAAGAGTGAACAGATCGCTCGAAAACGTTTGTCAAGCGATATACTATATATACGCGTAGAGCACTGGTAACAAGTTCCAGATAGTGTAACGTTAATTTCACCCCAGTGCTGAAAGTAGAGCAGTTCCTGTAATTTTACATTACTTCTTATGGGAAAGGTTGGTTTGGTATAAGTCCAAACATCAGGAATGGATTAAGATTGTATACCGAGGTTCCACTGTATTTGTAAAATATTTAGAGTTTAAAAATTCTAAACTTTATTTAAAAGAGAATAGAATGTATTATACACCAATTAGCAAATACACCAAATCCAGTTAGCTTTATATGTAACAAATATTCAATTTTCTTATTTATTTATCTATAGTGATATACAAAATGTAATTCTTAAAGTGGAAAAAGATGAGACATTCATTTGTTCACTATTAGAGAAGATGCAAATGTTCTACTTTAGTTATTATTTACCTGCAATTGTAAATAGTATTTAAGTAAATAGTTTATGTTCACAATAAAAAAAAAATTCACTCATTTATAATTGGAGACTGCAAATTTACTAATACTGAACAAACAAACATTATTTTATCTACATGTGAAAGAAGTGAAATGGATAATCTGCAGTTCAATATTTCAAAAATTTTAATTCTACCAATGGCTTTCTCAACATGAATTCTTACACGAGCAATTTTGTATGTTTTGTCTGTTTCATTACCACTAAACTGCTTTTGATTTGGTTATGAGGCAATTCCAATTAAATATTTTATAGTAGTAATGAAACTGAATTTGATGTTGAACTGATGATGGCTTCTCAGTTTTTATTTTTGTACAGTCAATGATTACTCTTGTTTTGGAATAATTTTCTTTAAATGATTGAGGTAATGTAACCTTAATAGATAATTTCCAAACACAGAACAATTTACATTTGATTTTCTCATTTTTGACATTATAACTCAGATACAAATTAAAAAAACAATAAGTGATTTACTGTGCTAGGTATGATTTTCGAAATGTCTCAGATACAATGCATATGCATTCTTTAGCAAACTCCTATGTGTTATGTAAATATTTGCCACCAGGGTAGCGCTTGAGTAACTTGCACTCGGGGTCTAAACGGGCCGAGCATATTCTTTGAAAATACGTGTTACACACTATTTTGTAATTGCAGAAGAAATTTATTTTTGGCCTTTCTGGATGATGTATATAGGATATATTTAGTTTTCTATAACGTAATATAGGTCTATCTAATCATAATTTTAAAAACAATCATAACGGCATTGATTAAATGCACATTGTTATCAAATTAAGATTTTAATATGGATTTACTGACATTTTCAAGTTTTTGTTCTCTGCTACAACTGAATTTAGTGAGAAACAATAAATTTTTATGAAATTAAGAATAATAAGGTATTATTAATTCACAAAAAATTAAGCCTGTATGGCCAAATTGTGACCTGATTGAATTCTTGTGTACTTGATACTGTCTGTAAAAACTTCTTATACAATAGTTTTCAGCATTGCAATTGGAATTTTAACAATTTATCAACAAAGAATGTTTTGGAATAACTAATAACTGTTTTAGTCATAAAGGCTTAATCCATCATTAACTGACTTGTTAATTCCATTGTAACCATATAAAAAGTTTTTTTATATGGTTATAATTTTTTTTGTTTGGTTTCCTTGTCCTTGACACACTTCTTATTTTTTCTTCTATTTTTGAATCAATTGTTTTGGATTTTTTCTTTGTCATTCACCAACTCTGTAATACTAACATCATCTTGGTTTTTGGAAATCAGCATTGTTAGATCTTTTTCATGTGAAGAGAATGTAGATCTTTGAACTTCATCAGTTACATTGCTTAGTGAGGGTGGCATTATCAAATAATCATTTTTATAATGTTTTCTTGGACGGTACCTGATCTTTTGCAGTTTCAACAACTTTGACTTACTTCATTGATAGTTTTAAAAAGAGTCTCTAGATCTTCCTCTGTATTAACGACTTGTTGGGTATAAAATTCTTTAGTCCAACTTTTAACCTTGTTCCAAACATTACCTCATAGGGACTGCAGTTTATACCAGTGTGATGCATTCGATTTTTCATCAGTTGTACAAAATGTAATTCTTCCGACCATTTGGTAGTATTGTTAGTCTCCAGCCAAGAACTAAGCATATTTTGTATGCATTTATTACATTTTTCTACTTTATTTCATTTTATTTATATATATTAACAATAATATTTCATTTTATTTATGTTTATAATGTTTTAAATTAAAAATCAGTTCACATTTCAAATCTCATAGTAGTAGTATATGATCTTTGAATAAATTGGAATGTGTGCACTTTTGGAATACAAAATCGAATGCCTTCTAAAGAACTTCAAAAGTATAAAGACCAGCTTGCAACAGATTTAAGTAAATGCCTGAAGAAGAGCCCAGAAGGGGCATTGAAAACGTTAGCACTAAAGAAAACATTTTTTGCTCTGGTTATTTGGTTTGAATTAAGATGATTTAAATTTCAATCTCGTGTGTTAGGAAGTTAAAAATTTTCAGATCATTTGATATTGTTTTAGCACTGAATCTACATAACGCAATAAATAATTAAACAGTTAAATAATTATTTTGATAATATAAAAAAATAAAAAAGATATACTGATAGATTTGTTAACTGATAATATGATATCTAAATTTTCTTCACTTTACTATTACATCAGAGAAATAGGGAGACAACTGAAAATTTTTGCTACTTCAGCAGTATTATTTTCTGAATTAGTTGTAAAAGAATATTGAAATGTGGGAGAATTGATAAGTGTGTTTGGAAGAGAAAAAAATTAAAGATTTTTCTGAAATTGGGTTTGTAACTTAGTATTGCAATCATTAAAATATGTTTAGTATGAAATATGATGTGTGAGAAAGTGTGTGAAGCATAAGCTTTGGGTATGGCATTCACATTTAATTAAGAACTATTGATTTTACACATTTAGTACAATATCTTTTCAAATTTTTGAAATAATAATCAGCTGTGTTCTGAAAATGTTTATCATTTTTTTTAGTTGTTATCCATCCACCTAATATCCGTCTATACAGATGTGAGTGCTTGAATCATTGAATGGAACTATTGAAATGCCAGCAAGTCTAGTTTTGGGATATTGTTGCATTATTGATAGTTCCATTTTCATACGTATAACAGTAGAAATTTTACAGCTTTTTCAAATTTTGCTACCAGTTGCAACATTTCATGCAACATTTAATAAATTTATCTTAATCCTTTATGCACTTTGATAATGCACACACTTGCAGTAAAAAACAGCAATGTTATTTTCTGTGACCTAAGGGTTGGCACCTCTTTAGTGCCCTGTCAGGATGGACACCACTGTGTTTCGTGGAACACGGAAGCCGAGACGGTGGTTATGAACATCGCACGAGCGGCTCCATGAGCAGATGGGCAGATTCATAATGTCAACCGATCAAGAGACAACATATGAGAGTGGCTCAGACTCCAATTAACAATTAATAATCAAAAAAGTTGAGAAGATACAGAATTTCCAGATTTTTTTGCTGAGAGAGAGAGAGTTCACATAGTGGGTGCGAGTTGAATAAATACCTTGTGGTGTAAGAGGATATCCTGATGGAGCTCTCTTTGATTGATGAAGCTTGTTCCCTTGATAATTTGTTTGAAACTGGTATCCAATAGAGGTCAACTGGCACAGTGTTGGGTGATATCAAAATAAAGTGCATCCAGATAGTCACTGATCTTGATTATTTGGAGGGATTCGTTTCTCTCTGGCCAACGATATTCCGGAAGGGATCGGTTATGACTTTCCTGATCAGAGGGATTGATGACAACTGACTTTTCTCGGCCGTCTCTAGCGATATCCACAGACGATATCGGCCGTCCAGAGGTTAATAGATCACGAGAAAGCGTCGTGTTGCCTTAGAGAAAATGTAACGGGAGACACTCTCAGGTAGCTACGAACAACAATTGTTATGTAACTTGGACAATATTAAGGCCTAATTTTGATATAGGAAGTTCGGCTACCTCACACTTGTAATCAATACTCATTCAGATTGTAACTCAACACACGAGTGCACTTCCAAATAAATGTATCTGCAACTTGCAGAACTCGTAAGTATGACATGCTTCATACCATTTTTTCTCATGATGTAATTCTTCTCAAGTTGTAAAAATTTGCATATCAATATATTTTACTCTGTTTAATTTAATGGTAACATACATATTGCCATTTTTATTTTCATGTCAGAATGTTTGTTTGTTAGATTTTTTAAATTTCTAAATGTTATATTTAAGATTTTTTTTCCCTCTAGTTCTTTGGAAACTGAAATTGAAGCATTGAAATCAATTTATATTCATGAACTGGAGGTTAATTACAATGAACAGTGAGTATATATTTAAATAAAGTAGATAAATTGAATTTTTTAAAAATATTTGTGTACAGCATTATATTTCATAAATATGCAAGAATAATGAAAATGTTATATTAGTGAAATCATATTAAAGTAATACATCTGCAACAGCTGTAAATGATTGGGCTATATTTTGGATATATAATTATAAATTAGAAATGAATTTGGCACTAGAGTGCGGCATTAGGCGCCATTCATTTCTAATTATATATCTAAAATATAGCACAATCATTTATGGCTGTTGTAGATGTATTAGCTTAAGGTATCGGGTTTCAATGGTCGTGTATCTTTATACATATTAAAGTATTTTCATTATATGTATTTACTATATTTGAAAGTACAGTAGAACCCCTCTAGTCCGCCCTCGGCTAGTCCGTCGTTCCGGTTAATCCGACCGTCGTTGGAGTCGAGAAACTTGTCCTGACTCGTCGGTGACTCACCGCCCGTCGCGTTCTTCTGTGTTTGTTACAGTATATGTTTTACATTGTGTGTACGTGTACAGTTTTGTGTGTGTTTTCAACATGTCAGAAGTGAAATGCAAACACGTTACTCTTTCATTAAATAAAAAATTAGCAGTGCTACAAAGACTCTAGTCTTTGTAGCACTGCTAATTTTTTATTTAATGGGGAAGGTTGTTTATTTTACTTTTCCTGATAATCCGACCTTTTTTGCGTTCCGACCATACCCCCAGTCCCAAAGGTGACGGATTACAGGGGTTCTACTGTATTTGAATTAAATTTTTTAAATACAATATTACTACACCTGATTAAATCAAAGTAATGTACCAGTGAGCCTGTTACCAGTGTGCATCTTTTACTAAATCAACTGTTACAAGTGTTTTTGAACTCACAAGTTCTTCAGGTAACATACAACTTCTGAACAAACGCGACTCTAATTAAATTGAATTGGAACACCAGTTGGAACTCAATTGCGTGGATGTCGATAACATCACTTGGGCATTTGCCGTATTATCTGTAGTAGTTAATGCAAGTTCTTATCCAAGAGCACCTGCCAGGCCGTAGATAGTGATTTCATCTTTATTGTTAATGCAATTACCGTCCTTAAGTGTAGCCATGCAGGGGCCTTATTCTGGTCACTGTCTCTGGTCTCTCGTCTCTCGCAAGCCGGTCGCTGATTGGCTAATCCAAATGATTAACCAATCAGCGACCAGGTTGTGAGAGATGAGAGACCAGAGATAGTGACCAGAATATGGCCCCAGATGTAAATAGCTTCTAGCCATCTAAGATGGTGTACATGTTGAGTAGTGTGGATGACCCTCGCTTGATTGAACATTGATTCTACTTCCGGGTCAGAGGCACAGGTGGCGAGAGCGGTGGAGGTCCTCTGGTGCCGAATATTCACCGCATGCTCTTTAATTCTCACTTCTAGGGAGCGCTTGGTGGATCCTACGTAGACCAGGCTTCTATCGCATCTATGGTCCATGATTGGGATGGTGTACACCCCAGGGAGTTTTTCTTTGTTGGGGTTGTCTTTTCCGTTCCACAAAATGTCAAAAATTGTAGCATATCTTCGGTATGCGATGCGAATATTCTTATCTTAGCTATCCCATTGTATAATGATTTAAGGTAGGGATAATAGGCAGAACCTCGTCTGCTGTTTGGGCAGGGTATACTTCTTGGCATCTGTGCCATCTGTGGATCAATTTGCATCTGTGCCATCTACAGATCATACTGTAGCAATGTTCCTTGGCTATATGCTCAATGCGTTCTAGCTCTGCCTGGAGAGCTATCTGCAACAACGAGTGTGTATGAGCCCTCCTAATTAAGGCAGAACAAATGTTCATGACGAACAGAAGAGTGGAAGACCTTCCAATTTGACTAAGGAGTTGGTGCAAAAAACTGAGGAAACCATTTGTGAAGACTGCTGATTGACAGTGGATGAAATTTCTGCGATGTTTCCACAACTCTCCAGAACACTCTCAAAGAAATGCTGGTGGGAGAGTTCTTCGAGGAGGGCATAAAGAAGTTTGTGCCACGGCTCATCACATGCATTGAACGGAATGGCGATTATGTGGAAAAATAGTCAATAAGTGTATCAACAATATCCTGTAATTTTTTCAAATACACTTTTTCTAAAAAAATATAAAAATCTAGTACACTTACTTTCTGAACATGCCTCGTACATTAAGCAGTACTTACTTTAATATCTAAAGATGGAGTAATAATACATGTAAAGTTAGATTTGAAATGTATTTCCAGACAAAATCTAAATTTGAAAGTCATAAATTTATATAAAATTTACTTTTAAAGTTTTATTTCTATATGCATTTGGATGATGAACCTTGATTAATTGTTGTTTTGATAAAATAAAAAAAATTCAACAATGCTACCAATATTAATTGTGCATTAGTATTAAATAAGTTTAATCCATTATTATAACAGTTATTAAAATATATTAATGTTATAAATGAAAGATATGTATCAAAATAAATATTGTTTTTCATTTATTACTTCATTTTTTTTATTTATTATTCTTTATTGGTTTTATTTGTTGATTATATTATGATTGACAAATAATAAATCCATTTCAGAGACAGACCAGATTCCATCAAAGTTCAGCTCTATCCAGCAACAGCAGATAATGTCACTGAGCAATATGTGAAGTTATTGTTGGTATTAAAACTTCATTTACAGGTATGTCATCAAAAATTAATAGTTACGAAGAAAAATGTTTCTAATATTGGGTTATCTGTATACAATTATGATCTGTTTAACAACTTTTTGCTTGTGTAAACATCATTAAAAGTCTTGATAAATTCTTTGTACCATGCTTATCTCTCATCACTAAAATTATCAGAGACCATGTGCTGTCCAGATAAATGGAATATCTGGACAGACAGAGTTTTGCTTAAAATTGTTTTTTTTTTCCTATCCAAATGCCCTGCTATATATGTAATTATATGCAAATTTTATGAAATAATTACTTTCTATGCATATACAGTACCTAAACATATATGCCTATTTATTGTTTTAATGAAGTTAGAAGGCAGTTTGGATAATCAGTGTCCATATAATTGGTGCTTTACTGTATATAACTTTTTGAATCTGAATTTTTCATTAATTCAAATAACCATATACAGTGGTACCTCAGGATACGAAATTAATCCGTTCTGAAACTGAGATCGTATCATGAAAATGTCGTAAGGTGAATCATTTTTCCCCATACGATTACATGTAAAACCAAATAATTCATTCCAACACGAAAAACACACTCAAAGTAAAGCTAAGTAGTACATTGGAAAAAAATACTTTAGTAAGGAAAACACTGAAAATGTGTTTTGTAGTTGTAAATGCATAAATAACCATAATAGAATAATAATTGATAAAAAAAAAAAAATGTAGTTTTATTTGCACTTTGAGGATAGACGACGGTGGAGGTGTAAACTGGTAGCGAAGGAGAAGGGAAATAATAATAAAACTTAACTTACATAAGATAATGTAACAATAACTTAAAAATAACTTAGGAAAGATAAAAAAAATTTGTGTTGTTTTATATATATATATATACAGGTAACCCCCGTATAACACGGTAGTTACGTTCCAAAAAATTGCCATGTTATGCGAAACAAAGAACTAGTATGAAAAGGAGGGTTAGGTTCCAAAAATTAAAAAACATGCTGTTATATTTTCATACTTAAGATAATAAAATTTTAATAAAGATATTTAAGTGATACATATTAATATAAATTAAATAATGTTTTCTTCGTTATCACTAAAAGCACTGTTAACCGAGGATAACTTGCGAAAAAGAAAACAGCTAGTTATCCTTATCCTCTGAGCATTTTTCTGCATTATCTTCAGATCCATGCTTTACCTTTTGCAAAATGTATGTAATTTTAGATTGCTTGCTTCTAGTTAAAAGGTCTCTATAAATTTCCTCATATGATGCTAAGCACTTATGAAGAATAAAGCAAGTATGGAATAAGGGAAAAACATTTGGCAACATCAGAAGCAGAAGCGTCGCGATCTGGCAACATAAAACAAGTTTCGAGAAGGACCACGTGTATCGACAGAAGGCGAGAAAAGAAAATTTACATACTTAAGTACTAATAGTTCACGAAAATAATAATTTTCGTAAACTATTATTACTTAAGTATGTAAAAATTTATTACATTTCATGTTGTACGAGGGTTTTACCCAATTCTCGAACCGTGTCAGGTTTTACCCAATTCTCGAATCTGTGCTATAACACTACTGTGTTATACGGGGGTGGTACTAATTCTCGAACCGTGTTAGAGTGAATCCGTGCTATAGAAGTGCCGTGTTATATGGGGGTTACCTGTATTTAAATGTTTATTCACTGCTTTTTGCTTTCTTTCCTTCACCTCCACCAGCACTTTCACTGGATAGAGGTTGCTCTGTAAAATATCTATCCAAAGAGGTTTGGCTTTGCCTACTTTTTAAAATGTTTCTAAAATGACTTAGGAAAATGTTGTTACTCCGAGCAGCAACACAGCCAGTGTGAACCTTTTTGGGATGTTTCTTTTCAATAAAATCAGTCGCTTTCTGATAATATCTCAAGATTTCCTTTATCGAGGGAGATCCTTCCACGACAAAGCAAACGTGCGGACTGAGACCAACGAACAGAAGTGAATAAAAAATGGCACTGCAAACTAATGTAACGTCGCATGGTGAGTTTTTGTTCGTACCGTGGAGCAAAAATATGTTCGAATTTCATGTCGTATCCTGAAAATTTCGTATGCTGGGGCGTTCGTATCCCGAGGTACCACTGTACAATAATCAGTATAGATTAGCATTAAATATCTAAATAAAAGCAGCTTGTTATATATATTAGTGGTGATCTTAGAGTTTCTACTTTTTAAAATAATGTGGAAACTTAATTATCCAAACTTGATTGGGTCAGGTGTCTTCCAGATAAATTTTGGATAATTCAGAAAATCATTTGAGCTTTTGGTACAGTACATCAAGCATTATGCATTTAAAGTTTCATAACACTAAATACTAGAATGCAATCTGTATTTGAAAGTAAATGAATTTACTCAAAATCTAATATAATTTAATGTATAAGACATAATTTTGAAGCACTACAATCAACAGATGTAGTCATTTCCAGTTACATGAGAGTTTGTATGCTGTGTTTTATATTTTGTAGTATATACAACACTACACTCCACTTGACTTTGTATGTATAAGGTAATGCTACACTTTTTTGTGTTTTTTAACTGTTTTGGATAATCGAGTTTCTTCTATATATTGAAATTTAACTAAATTGTCTTCTTATTAGTTTGATTTTTTTTTTCTTTTCAAAGTTAAAATAGAGTATTTTATTACTTAAAAAAATGCATAGAATATAAAACAATTAAGGTATAAAATTATATATTTGAAAGCAAAGGAAAAGAAGTTTGTTTTTCAAGAAATTTATTTTTACATAAAACGATTTAGAACAATAATTTATAAATTTTATTTAGTGAGTGGTCTGTGATTTAAATCCCTTTGACTTTGCAATGTGGGGACAACTAAATGTTTCTCCAATGAACTTGCAGATTCTTCAGGAGCTTATCAGAGATGCAACAAAAGGAATTTTGATAGTGTTCAGAGATCAGAATTTGTATTATTGGTCAATTTTATGAATGCCTACAGAATTTGTCTGAAGATAAATGTTTTGAAAATTGTATTTTATAATCCACTTATTATTCAATTGCATTTGTACTTTTTGACTAATTTACTTTTTCTGCCAAGACGTACACATGCACAACCCTGTTTGTTTGATTCTTGTCAAATGTTAATATTCTTAATGCTGTTGTTATATGTATAAAACAATAGAAAATTTTTATATAATAAAATAATTTATTTTAAAGATTTGCTTTTAAGATTTAAATACAGGTATACCTCGACTTACGTCGTTTCGAGTTACGTCATTCTCGATTATATGTCGTTTGTCAAAAAAGTATATGGAAAAATAAAAATCAAGTTTAAGTCATTTTATTCGACTTTACGTCTGTCCGCCACAAATATTGAAGTCGTAATATCACTAGAAAAATGTTTAAAGCACATAAAATCATATTATAATATATACATTTACAAGTATATACTGTATTTGCAGTACATGCATTCGTAAATTTAAATTACTTTTTTCTGTACTATATTAAAAACTAAAATTTATTTGTTTATAAGCTTAAAATAGATCCTTATTAACCATATATTATTAAAAATGCATTAATAAATAAAATACAGAACAGGAATTGGTAATTTATAGTTTAGCCTAGTGGCAAGTAGATTCGGAGACAAGTAAATTCGACTTACGTCGTTCTCCTGGAACCAATTACCGACGTAAGGCGAGGTATACCTGTATTTTAAATTTTATTGTTCTAAAAATTTATATTTCTTTTCTAATAAGATGTAAATTAAGTGAACTGTTCTGGCAGAAAAAATTTTATAGTGAATAATGCAACTGCTATGAGAGTATCAGAGACCAAATACAGCTATTTGAGACTATCAGAGACCAAATACAATGTTATGAGATGGGTCCATAAACAGTATTTCACTGAAGGACTTAAGAATTATAATTACAGAACTGTTTAATATTTTTTAAAATTAAATTTTGACTTATTATTGCTCTCATTGCCATTCTAAATTATTAAATTTTACTTAATTACAACTATGTAAAATTTGATCAGTGTGCGTGCATGTGTCAAGTACAGTTGCATGAATTTATAACAATTGATATCTTAAAGTTTTCTGTTAAAATCACTTTCTTTATATTTTGAATGTAGTATCCACATTACGTGCCAGAAGTTTTAATTCAAAACACCAGAGGATTATCAGATGAAGAAATTGAGAGGTATTTTTGTTTAATTTAGCAAACATTTTTGCGTTAACAATTTATTCAAATTTTTGTGATATAATCAATTAATAAAAATCTGTATTAAGTATTTGCTTTGACTTTTAACAAATAACTTTGATATTGAATATTTCTGTATTCAATGTTTTAAATATTATTTGTACATCTGTGTTTGTAATTTTATTACTTACATACAGTAGAGCATCATTTATCCAAAAGTCAATTATCTGAAAGAATTCCAGTCGGCAAATTTAAATTTTCGCCAGTGCTGTGGCACTGCAATCTTTGGCTATATCTTGGGCTACTCAAATATTACGTTTTTGATACTAAATTAACTCCTGAAGTATAATTTTTTGTTGTTTTTATATTTTTCAATATATTTATTTTGTTTGTACAAAATAAAAAAATAATTTGTAACGATACAATAGTCTTCATTAGGCTTAACATTGACGAAAATTCAACGTGGGATAGGTTAATATATTTTTTCGTACATAATTGGTTATCCAAAATATTGATTTTCCGAACAACCCCAGTCCCCAATTGATTCGGATAAACGACGCTCTACTGTATTTGAATGTTAACTATTCATCTCATTCAACTTACTGATATGTTAAAAATGAACACAGACGAAATTTATTTAACTATTTGTTTGTTAATATATAATTTGCATGATCCTTACTGAACTTTTACTCAATAAGCAGCAAAAATTCTCACTTTTGATATAAGCTATCTTGATTCTTTACTCATCTATATTAAAATGTTATATACTAAAGTTTATTTAGTTGAAAATTTTAGGAAATTACTTTCAGATTTTTTACAATTTAAGAATTGTTTTTATATTAGGGGGTGTGAATTAATTTTGAGGGTAATTTTAGCCAAAAAATATATTTATTACCAAAAAGATGAAACAACTTACATTAGTCAAAATATTTTCCCATTTTACTGACACGAGATGAATATCACAGTAATAAAATAATTCATCTTTTGAAGCAATCCATTCATCAATGAATTTTTCACTTTATCAAAATCGACAAATCGCTGATCTTCAAGCACGTGTTGCATCAAACGGAAAAGATGGTGGTCCGATGGAGCCGAGTCCAGAGAATACACAGGATGTGGAAAGACTTCTCATTTGAGCCCCAACAAAGTTTGTTTCACTGCAGAAGCAACATGTGGCTCAACATCATGTAAAAGGATCACTTTGTATCATTTATTTGCAGCTGATGTTTTTTGTTCACTGCATGCTTTACACTGTACAGCTGTTGTCAATGATATTTCCCTGTAACAGTGTCGTTTGGTTTTAACACTTGGAAGTATACTACTACTACTACTACTACATCATCATCATCATCTCATCAAATACTTTGCATAACCTCGAGCATTTTAGTGTCGATGTTGACAGTTGGCAAAGACGTACCATAAACTTTTGCATTTGGGATTATCTAAATAAATCCATTTTTCATCAATCACACAATCTGACATGAAAAAGGCTTTTTTTTGTCTGGGAAGCAAGGAGATGCAAATGTTCAATTACTTCACAATAATACTCAAACAGTTTGTGTAGCATCCATTTTCCTTCCTTCAGAATTTTTTCCATAGCAGGTAAATGTTTGGTGACTGTTGTTCAATGCTTTGGCTAGTTCTGATGTGGTTTGATGTGCATCTTTGTCCAATAAAGCTTGCAATTCAGCATCTTCAAATTCTTTTGGCTATTCCCAGCATGTTTTATCACTAACATCAAAATTGCCACTCTGAAACCATCTAAAGCAGTTTTAATTGATGGAGAGACTGTCTGTAAGTTTTGACTAGGGTTTCTCATTTCCCGGTCCTTTGCTTGTCTTGGGATTTTGAGAAAAAAGTAATCTGTTTCTCAGGATATAATTAATTATTTCTAAGATATAAAATAAATCTTGAAATCAATATGATTATTTTTCATGTTTTAAGTAATTTAATACAACCTACAATCTCCAAAATAATGCTGTGTAAAATATGTATTAAAAATTACCTTTGAATTATGTAGAAATTTTCGCAATAGAAAAAATTTATTAAAGTTTGTTGGAAACTGCTTACAACAAAAAAAAAGCCTTTGAATTGAGTTGAAAATCTAAAGAAAAAATTGAACTTGGATCAAACTTCTAACTTAGAAGATAATTTTTGTTTTTTAAATAAAACATAATATAAAAATTTACAACAATGTTTTGTAAGATTTTAAAAAGCAAAGATGGTCAATACTCCAATCACTCAATGTGGTTCTTATTTTAGTAATGAAAAGACCTGCTATTAAAAATGCCCTTTCCCATTCAATTGATGTGGGTGGAATAGGAATAGTCTTTAATGCATTTAAAGAAGACAGATGTTATGTGTTTCTAGTTTGTTTTCAAGATGCATTGCAGTACCACTTTTACTGTCTAGTATTCTTGATTTGTTTACCTCGGCTGCTTTAGCTGAAAAGCTTGATGCCGCTATTAAAGTAATTGCAGATGAGCTGGTACTTCATCTGTATCACTGGAACTAGAATCAGCAGGTACTCCAAAAGATGTTACATCATCTGTTTTGATGATAAAATTAACATAGACTTGATTGGTAGGGCTGGCAAACATCTGTCACTTGTGAAAGTTGTAAATTTTTCATAATTATTTCCACTGTTGAGTTATGTATGAGGCCAGTTAGTTTCTCATTTCTTCTCTCTGTTATGTGTCGAATAAAAGACTACTTTAATCTTTTTTAAAAATTTGTGTTTAGTTGATTTAACTCATTCACAATAAAAGAAAAATTGCCTTTCGATGAAAGTAAAGTCAATCCTCTGTTGCACAATCTTTATTCCAGTCTTTGATTGCTTTCAATATGGATAACCTTATTTTAATAAATTGCTTTAGCATGGCTAAAAGACTATTCCATTTGATTTTGGAATCCAGAAATAAGTGCAAATATTTTCCATGTTTCTGTTGAATATATTCTTGTAAGATGTTATTCTTTAAAGGTGATTTGCAAAAATTTTGCTATTTTTCTAAACTTATTGATAATTTCAGAGGAGACGATTTTCTTACCTATAGTATCATGGAATTGAAATAAAATATCTTTATTGAAAGGACCTTCAGCAAAATGCTCACACAAAACACTTTCAAGATCAATATTAATTAAAATCTTCATCATCTTCTATTTTGTCATTGCACTCTTCATCTTCAGTTTGAATTTCTTCAGAAAGAGGGACTGCTAGTGAAGTGATTAGCTTTTGGTACAAAACAGCACATACTGTTAAGTGAATTGTGCATAAAAACAATTGATGCTTACATTCAGTTAGTCTTCCAAATTTCAGCATTACAGCTGCACCATCAGTACACAAGACACCATGTGTTTTTTTAAAGATATGTGAAATTTCTCCAACTTTTCTTTGATTACTTGGACAGCAGTTTTTGTAGGTAGAACATTAGAAATTTTCACCATTCCTAAGTTCCAAAATGTTCCTCACTTTTGTGTATGTTTATGTATATTTAAATATTGGTGATTGTTTAGTGAAGTGGATTCATCCAAGGATACACTAAACCTTTATCCTGCATTTATTTAGCTACCAGTTTTGGTACATAATTGTTCTTTTATTTGTTTGTAATGCAAATAGATGAGATCCATTAGATGTTATGGATTTTTTGATAAAGTGTATCCTCTGTCTATCAATGACTTTCTGATGAACTCACTTTGTAATAGAGTTGATAGAGACCCAAGTAAATTTGCAAGTTTTGTTACTATTTTTCACACATTTCTTTATTAATAAAAAGGTGATGCTAAGGTTTGTTGAGAGGCTGGTTGCTTGCTACTAGTTGATCCAGCTTCCTTGGCTGTGTGCTTAGTACTAGTGACAGACAATTTTGTCAATATTATGCTTGTTACACAGATGTCTGATAGATTACTTGTTGACCAACCTTTATACTTCATTTGCTTTTTACATTCTTTACAAGGCTTTAAATTCTTGTTTCAAATCCTATATGAAATATTTCCAAACAAATGATTCTGATATTCTTAATTGAAGGAATTGGATATGAACAAAATAAATTTTAAATTATAACATAGTATATATATGTTATATATGGTTAATGGGGATTACAGGAAAAACCTTGTGTTACAACTCAAATTCACAATGTAAAGAAAGTGTGACATGTGGACAATTAAAGACAAATGAACTGCTGAATTATTGGACTTTTAATAAATAAATTATATATATTATGATGATTAGATACAATTTAATTTGTCTAATATCATTTAATTAACCTTCTTATATCCCGATAATTCGGCAATTTGTTTGACCTTAATGTTTAATCGGGTTTATGAAGAAAAACTTCATACTCGTTTGTATCCTTACCCAATTTGTACAACCTGGCTTAATGCAGTTATCGAAGCTACTGGGCATGGTTAAAAATTAAGACAAGTAAAGAATTTTCAGAGTCCTCCCACAAATAAATGTTGATTATTGACAATCTGTGACATACCATAACAAGCAAAATTTAAAAAACTAATAAGCAGGCTTAAAATGAATAAATACAAATGTATTATGAGAGTTTGAGTTAATTATACTTTCTATTTTCAAAATTTCAACCTTAACAGAAAATAAGAAAAATGTGAACTTTAATAAATTTGTGGGATTTCCAGGGTTAAAAAAAGAGCCTGGATAGTTAGAAACCCTAGTTCTGGCTATCCAGTGACTATCTGCAGCTGTTTTTTTTTCTTGTGAAAAAGTAAAGTAACATGTGGAAAATGCTCTTTTGGAAGTTCCATTTGAATACTTATAAAAATCCCAATCTTAACTTACTGAACATTAAACATAAAAGTGAGAACTTTAACAAACAATAAATATAATTCAAATTTGGCTGCTAAAATTTACAACTAGCCTCCTGTTGAAAAACCTTGAAAACTAATTCACATTGCTAATATTAAATGAATGTAAAACTAAATGTTTTTATCCTTGATTTAGAATATTTCATTTATTGGATATAAACATTTGAAATTATTTCATCTTTTTTCTTTTAGTATTCACAATTCACTTAGTAGCCTTGCTGCAGAAAGGAAAGGCACTCCGATGCTATTTGAATTAATTGAGGTAAGAATCATTTTCAACTTTATATGAATTAATTTGATTATGATAAAAATAAATTTTTTTCATCATTAAAGTGTATTGAATAATTTGTGACTTTGAATCTCTACAGATTAGGATTTTTACACTATATTTCTTTGCTTTTTGGTTGGTTATAATATAATGCTTAAGTAAAATAACTATATTTTCCTTTCTATTTTTATATTATGATTGAGCTTTCTTAGGAAAATGCAATTTTTGATTAAAGAAGATAAAAATATAAACTAATAAATTGATGGCCAAAGCTGTAAAGGTGTCGGTCTGCTGATCTGGATCAGGAATCTCAGGAGTTTGCATGGGTAATCTGTCCATCCTGGATTCATTTGGCCTTGCTGAAGACGTGAGGATATGATTAATTAAAAAGGCTCTCTAAGTGTTTTCAGAATGAAAGAGAGTAAAAAAACAATAAATTTTAAATTCAGAATGAAATATTTTAAAACATTACATATAAAATGCGTGTTGCTTGATTTAAATATGTTTTTTTCATTGGCTTTAATTTGCTGTTGTATTCTTATTTGTGTGTTCTTTGAGTTTGGCCTGTTGGACTCCCAAACATTTGTAGACTTGATCTTCTTCAAGGAATTCAATGGTTTCTCCATTTTTTTATATTCAAAATTATCTTTTTTTAGGATTTCTTTTTTGGATATGAGGTGTTTTGAATTTGTCTAGGTCAAATTTCATGCGTGTCAATGGAATAAATGTGTTTCACTTCTGATATGTGATTTACTTGTTAGTTATGCTTGTGTGAATGCATAGATTTATTATTTATGTACATAGATAATATCTTGTGTTTGATGTGTTGCATCTGTATTTTGTGTTGTATAATCTATTGGATAATGGGATTTAAGGCCAGATAAAACTAGAGTGGACTTAAGAAATCTCCCGGAAAATGCCTTGTTCTGTGTGTATTTGTTTTATTTTAATGTGCGTCGTGAAGTCTGAGGTGTAGTGTTGTTTTCTAATATTGCATTATGCATTCTAAAAATGTAATGTACACACATTACATTTTTTGTTGGATGTTTCTATATTTCATATGTTGGATGTTTAGATATAGTATATACAATAATCATGAGTGTGGGATGATATTGATTGCCTTCCTGTAATTTATATATGCTACATGTAGGCTTCTGTGTTTGTGTGTGTTGTGACTAACTGAATCTATGCGTAAGTGTACTTTGCATCCCATGGTTTCTTTGACAGTCTTTCTGTTACTCTCTGAGAATGTGATGGTAAATTTCGTTTGTGATGCATGAAGTGAGTGTTTTGTAAAGTGTAATAAGGCATGTGATTGGTTTGTATTGTATAGGATCTTCAGTATTATCATTTTTGGATTTTATGTATATGTTTCCTCCTAAAACAATCAACAATCCATCTTGTATGGATTGTTGTTAATTCCTGGTGCAAGAGTATAAATTTCTTATAACAGAAATTGTGAATGTTGTCTGCAAATTGTGTTTTGTACTGCTTGTTGAATGTTGTTTATGTTTATTTCAACACAGGGCATGATTAGTTGGATGGTGTCTCACGCATGTCTTTTATCTCTTTGATCCTGCTTGGTTCATTTTTGTGTGATTGATTGGAACAGAGAGCAGATCAATAAAGTGGCATGGCAACAGAAAAAAAAAACTCACATTTGATTTGATTTTGTGATGGGTTTAATATGTAGTGGTCTGTAGAAAAGTATCTTATTGTGTATGAATGATTTTTGTTTTATAGAGTTTGGGTTTTTACTATTTGAGTCTTTGTGACTCGGTTACAAGTTTTTGTTTGAGTGTGTCAATTTCTTCAGAACTTGCACAAATTAATTACATCAACCTGTACGTGGTACTTAATTTATTTGGAATTAGGAAGTTCACTATTGGCAATCAACACAATTAAACAAAGTTTCGGAGTGAAAGAATGAATGACCTTAGGAAAGTCCATAATGTAATAACATAATATTATGTTTTTTTGAAAATTTTCAGAAAACAAACAAACAATATATTAAAAAAAAAATAAAAATATCTACATTCTTTTCTTTCTTCACACTTTAAATGTTCTGAGAAAGAAATTGGTTAACTTGCATAAAAGATCTTTTAAATAAAACTGGTTTTTGTTTTATATTGAAATTGAATATAATGTGTACCATACATTCTGCAAAATTATTCTGATTAGCTTTGGAATTGGAAAGGAGTTAAATTGAAAACCGAGATCGTTTAATAATACAGTTGAGGCTCGAAAAATTCAGGATAATATTTAAAGGATATTAGATTAAGTATTTTTTAATTAATACAGTTTTTATTGTTGCATAGTACCTAAAATTATTGTTGTTTATAAAAATTCGTTTTCATCACATAAAGGTAATGCTACGTAAGATATCGAAGTTTTTGTATTAAGTAAATTTAAGGATCGTCGAGTTTCTTTTGGTTTTTTATCGTAAAGTGAAATTAATAATTATGCACGAAACACACTTAAGTCAAATTTTGCTGACTTAATACCCCCTTGTGAGAAGTAATTATTTAAGTCGATAAAATTTTGTTTTGATGATTATTATTATTTGTTGTTTAGAAATTGGAAAAATGTTTCTGCCAAAAAAAACAACAGAAAGGAAACCTTTGGTAACATAAGTTTATTATAACAGTTTTGTGTAATTTTGTTTTATTTTACATCTTATCATACATGTTTGTTTTTATTTGTACATTCATCGACCTTTTCTCCCTTTCTCTAAATTTACTAACAATGGATGGAGCTCTGCAGCAACTTTAAGTTTCATTGGTGAGAAAGACTGTCTTCTCTTTGTTATAGCAAACTTTTGTCGACCAAATAGTGAGACAGAAATGTTTAATAAATTCCGATTTTCAGTTTCCTTAATAACAGTAGAGTTTGTTTTTCTATTTTAAAATATTTCCTTCTAGAATATGCATTAAAAAAATATATTTTATGAAGATTATGGACTAATAGGAAGAAAATCTAAGAGTAATATTTTTTTAGAATTGCTATTGAGAAACATATAAATGTTCTTGATAGAGTTGCTACAATATTACAAAAAACTTTCAAATATATAATTTAAACACAAAATTATTGGTATTTTTTCAACTTTTAGACTGCTAAAGAAATCTTGACCAAAGCAAATACTCCCAGTTGTCAGTGTGCAATTTGTCTTTATGGTTTTGCAGAAGGCGACGACTTAATTAAAACAGAATGCTTTCATTATTTTCATTCTCACTGTCTTGCCCGATACGTCCTACACGTTGGAGAATCTTTTAAAGAAATGGAAAGCGTATCTTCACACCAGACAGAAGATATTCCTAAGGTTGTTAAATTTAATTAGTCTTTTTAAAATTTAATTTGTTTTATAGTTATTTAATTTTACAAAAACAATATACGAGTGTGATAAATAAATAAAATAGTTTTGATTCTATTACAATATTGATAAAGTTCGGGAACTTTTATTTTACTTTAAAAATCCAGGTCGTCTGTCCAGTTTGTCGTCTTCCGATATCGTTTTCTCCCGGAGACAAAAACTATCCTCCTCCCTTGGAAAGTGAAAAAGATAAGATAAAAATTTCTGCAGAAGTGAGAGCCTTACAGAGAAAAATGCAGAGGCTATATAATGTACAGAAGAAGAAGGGTGGTATTATAGATATTGAAGCAGAGAGAAATAAATACCTCCTTGAAATATCAAATGTGAGTAACTTTTTGATAATTTTGCAATTTTTATTGAAAAAACATAAAATTATTATTTTAAATTGACTGTGAATTACAAACGTTACTGTCGTGATAATTTATTATTTAAAATTTTGAAACATGCCTAAGATATTTTTTACAGAAGGGAAATATTTTAAATATGTTTATTAAGTTTTGTTTGGTAAGAACGAATTAGAAAAACAATACAAATATCACAAAATAGCTAATTTCTGGTGGCTCCGTTTCCGCGTGCTTCGGCACGTAAGAAATATTGCATCGGAAGTATTTCGAACGTTAAAACGGACGTTAAAAGCTCATTTGAAACTAATACGAGCAATAGTGAAAAAATACTTATTATTGGTACGTAATGCATCGACATCCCTTTGGCCACTAATGTAATACCGACACCAGTAAATCCTCCCTTGTTAATGTATTAAAAAATTATCGTGTTTAATTACTCAAAATTCGTGGAATCCCAACAATCTCGTCTTGCAAATCTATTTATTTTTACTAAAAAAACTTACAATATCACAATTAATTTTAACTTTAACCCTTTCGTCACTATAAATATAAATTTTGATCTGAAATTAAATTTAGTTAATGGGGTGGGAAGGGAGGATGGTACATATACACTATCTGGCCAAAAGTATCCGCACACCCCTAAAGAAAAGTGGATCTGGCAGGTGAAGGTCATTGATGCATAACTGAAACGTATGAAAGTGTTGGTAGTGTTTTGTCAGGTCATATTTATGCATTTGTGAGACAACGAGTAAGTCAAAAGAGTTTAAGTCAAAAGAGTTTAGTGAGTTTGATTGTGTCATTATAGTGGGATGCCACCTTTGTGGGAAATCGGTTTGTGAAACTTCAAACAATGTACAGAATCATAATCCACTGTGAGTGATGTAATTGTGAAGTGGAAATGTCAAGGCAGTGAAAGTGGAAAAAAACGATGTGGCAGGCCGAAGAAAATGAGTGAACGCAGCCGTACAACCCTGAAAAGGATAGTGAAACAAAGTCGCACGTCCTCGTTGGTTGAAATCACTCGGGAGTTCCAAAGGTCATCAGGCATTAGTATTAGCACCAGGACTATTTGTCGAGAATTAAAAAACCTGGGATTCCGTGGTCGTGCAGCCGCTCACAAGCCGAACATCACTCCCCAGAATGCGAAGCGTCGATTGCAATGGTGCAAAGCTCAACGTCATTGGACTGTGGGCACGTGGAAAAGTGTTCTTTGGAGTGACGAATCTCGCTTTACAATCTGGCAGTCCGACGGACGTGTCTGGGTTTGGCGGATGTCCGGCGAGCACTTTTTACGTGACTGTATTGTGCCGACCGTAAAGTTTGGTGATGGCAGCATCATGGTGTGGGGTGCTTTTCATGGTTTGGTCTGGGTCCCTTAGTTCCTGTGGTTGGAAACATGAATTCTTAGATGTATGTGGATATTCTGGACAATGCTACTCTCCCAACTCTATGGAAATATTTTGGGGAAGGCCCATTTCTCTTCCAGCAAGATAACTACTCCATTCACACATCAAGACTTGCGCAGGCATGGTTTGACGAAATGGGTGTTCAAAAACTGGACTGGCCTTCTCAGAGCCCCGATCTAAATCCCATAGAACACCTTTGGGACGAATTAGGACGCAGATTACGTAGTCAGCCACATCGACCATCCTCACTGCCAGCACTCACTTTAGCCCTGATGGACGCCTGGAAGTCAATTCCAATGGCCACCTATCAAAAATTAGTGGAAAGTCTCCCCAGACGTGTACAGTACAGGCTGTCATCGATGCAAAAGGAGAACCAACATCATATTAATATATGCCTCACGACTCTCCGAGTTTGTACTACTGGGTGTCCGGATACTTTTGGCCAGATAGTGTATGTACCAGCAGGTAAGAAATTACAACGTATGCTTCAGAAACACTTTAAAAATGTATTATTTACACTATATTATTTGGTGTGGTACAACTGGGCACGAAAGCGTAACTAAATGCATTTTGTGGTATTTTAAAAGTCGAGAGGACGAGAAAAAGTTTATTATTAACAAATATAATGTATTTTTGCAGACGCCGGACGTAAGTTTTACGGCAGAAGGCGCTTCGACTAGCGAAATTAAAAGTGTTACGGGCTGGTCGGAAGAGGGGAAAGAGAGGGAAGCAAAGCCAGAGTTTAAAATATTAGACGACGGCGGCAATTATCCGAGTCCTTACAGAAGATATCGTCGATGCAGAAACTCCAGACAATCCGAGAGACACAGAAAGGAAGAGACTAACGGAACCGAAAGTAATTCTTCGTTTTCCAGAGACGAAAGCTCAAACAGTTCGCTGGAATGTAAGAACCGTTTCAAAGTCGGCAGCGACACCGACAACGTCGAAGATCCCGACGAGTGTCGTCCGGTTAGAAGACGCAACTCCTTTCAAACGTCACGCGCGGACAGAAGGGACTTTCATTCCCGGCGAGTGTCCGGAGAATCGGAAAACGACAGTAGATTTCGCAGATACACAGAGAAAAGGAATAGGAAAGAAACTTACGGCGGCGGCTCCTGTCGTAAAGGTAATCAAAGTAGAAGGTCGAGTAATAGGGGAGGTAGGGAATCCTCCAGTAGCCAGGTCGGAGCACCCACCCTAACCTCGGCAGAAAACGGAGAGACGGACGGTCCGGTCGACGTGGTACGCGGAGACGGGCGCGACTATTCCAGAACCTATCAGTATACTAAAAGTTATTACAGGAACAAAAGTAACCTTCGTTATAATTCCAAGAGGAATCCCAGGGAGTCGGAAGACGTGGAGGCGCGCAGCTGACAGCGATTTACTGTTACCGTCTACGCGGCGAGGATAAAGTCTGGTAAATTCCCAGTTAGAATTTTGTTTAAGTCTGTCGCACTTTTTCGGTCTTGACGGTTTATAAATTAGGGAAGGAATAAATTTATTGCGTATGTATATATATTTATATATTAAGGTCGTTTGGAAAATGGAGCTGTAGAAATTTGGAAGAACTTTACGACAGTCGGAATTAACGTAATAGAAGGAATATTCATGGATCGGGCGTTTGAAATGTCATTCCAATTAAACTATGAAAATAAACGGAAATTATTGCCGGTGGCGAGAAGTGTTACTGATTTAAAAGTAATAAACACTCGGCATTATATCGATGCCAAATTTCTATGCGCGGCGCGGTACGATTTTCTTTTAAATACAGTGCAGCGGTGCCTCGTACTTTGAATTTAATTCGTTTCGGGAGGCCATTTTATTTACAGTTGACTGGCACATTCCAAAATGCCGTAGCAACGCAAACTTTAAACTCAACTCCGGGGGTTAGGGCTATTTCACACTATGGCCGACTGATCCGACTCCGAGTCGTGTTGCCGCGGCAACAGCAGTCGGACAGATTTAAAAAGTTAAATATTTTGTAGTCGTGTCGGAGCAGTCGGCGAGCTACGGCCAATTACAGCTTCGAAACTACAACCAATCGGACTGTATATACGAAAACTATCGAATCGATCAAACATAACTTTACATTATATATATTTCCCCTTGTACGGTACCTTATTTCTTTCATATGAGAAAAGACGGCATTATTTAGACTTTTCGGAAGAATTTATAAACGAAATAACATAATTTCCGCAAAGTTTAACCAAGTAGATTACAAAAATTACAACGATTTATAATACCCATTCCGATTGGTCCTTACGAATCGGACACCGACGTATAATCGTACTCGGTGCCAATGCTTCTATTACCAGTCGGTCGTAGTGTGAAACGGCCCTTACTAACGGCAAAGTACCGCTCGTCGCGCCAACAATTACGTACTATAGCCTCGGACTCGCGCTCCGACTCAACGTCGGTCGTCAACATTCGTCAATTTTCCCTTAAGCGTAAATAAGTTGTCGGTTTTTCTTGGCCAATCGTAGCAATAGACAGATAGCGATACTATAAGACGGAAAATAAAAATTTCGAAAACCGCTGTGGCTGGAGCATTTGGCACCGGGTAAACTTAAATACGAAGCCTTTACACTCTTACAAATTTTAAAATAAAAAGTTATCGATATAACTTTTCATACTCGCGCGCGAGTTTTGTACGAATTTGTTGGTCCACGCAACAATTTGGAATTATCACGCTCGTATTTCCACCACCGTTTGGAAGAATCTACCCCACGCTGACGACGTTAACCCGTTTCGGGCGAATTTTATAGTAAAAGACCTTTTCTACTCTGATTGTGTACGGTTCGCTTACTCTAATAATACAAGAATCCGCCTAAGATCTACTTATTCATTTTTCGCTCGATAAGGGTCGAGTTATAAACTCCGTATTCGTAAATGTTAAACCATTAGAAGTTTGACGATGGTGTTTGGAATGTCGAGCGTGATTCCACTGACTATCCAAATACCATTGTCAAACTTCTAGGCCGAACGTCCGACGTACACGTTTTCGCCTTTAAAACTTCGGCCTCAACCTCGCTAATATATTTCTAGTATAGCTGGCTGGAGTTACTAAATTTTATTTTTAAAGCCCGCGAGTTATATATGTATATTTCAAATTGGATTCGAGCTACCGCCATTCCATTTCATCGGAAGTGACGACAATCATTCCCCGCCAAGTGGCTGACCGACTATACAATAATTTGAGGTGAGGAGCGAGTATTTTAAATTAAATAAATTAAAAATTGTAGCCCTCGGTACAATCTGTTCTCATTAATTAATGAGAACCGATTGTTCTATTTTTCCTGTAATCTATATCTATACTAATATTATAAAGAGGTAATGTTTGTATGTAGCGGGTAAACTCCGAAACTACTCGTCCGATTTCAAAAATTCTTTCACCAATATTTAGAATGGAACTTCGGGGTGGACGTAGGCTGTATATTATTCCGTTAAACATTCGTATAAATTAAAAGATATCATATAGGTTAAGGCTTTTATCTCCAACAGATGGCGCTACGAGTACGGCGACCTAAGTTTGCTTTTCTGTGAGGATGAACTAAAGCGGATCATTTTCTATCTATTTATATAAATAAAAATGTAATGTTCGTTCGTTCCCACCGATTCCTTTCAAATTTTCACACAACGCCGCATTCGAATACGCGCGTTTTTATATAATATACGTGTCGAAATTCTCCCCCCACTGGGGGGGAAGATGGACGGGATTAAGGCTTACAGTAAAGAACTCCTATTTATACTATTTCAGATGCGGTTTTTTGCGTTTTAATAGGGTACGTCAACAGAACGTAGGCTAAAAACGGATTTTTCGAAAAATCCCCCCACGGGGGAAACGTTATACATTTATAATAGATACATTTTGAGCCACAACAACGCGTAGCGGGGGTCTGCTAGCTGCTTATATTTCGGTAACCAGAAAATCTTGAAAATTTGCCCACTACCTAAGAAGAAAATTTTCTCTCGAACGAGATATTCGCAATTATTATACTTCGGATGTTTGGGACGAAAAAATATATTACGTGTAGACTAATAGTGTTTTTGCTCCCGTACATCATACTTTTCTAGTTAGCAATACAGTCTTCCGGTCATTATCTAACATCTTTCAAGGAAATGTTTTTGAATCGAAATAGCAGAGTTAATCGGGATCTCCCGCCCCTAAGCTTTTCCTATTTGGTCTCGACTTCTAATCCATATAACATCATTCCGGAGATTAAGGAAGGACAGACAGCCGACAATGGGAATTTAGGTCTACAATTTTTTCAAATTGCGGTCAAAATACTAATAAAATCGCCGGTAAGTCACTCCGTAAACTTTCGGAGGACGCGCTATCTTCGCCGTGTCCGTCGACTACGAGGTAAAACCCATCCGAGGTTAACTCGTCGAATGTCGCAAATTACGATAAATTATAAGGATTGGCCGGCTTCTTTCTATTAAGGGAATCTATATATGAAAGTCATATTGTATTAAGTGTGTATGTTTGTTATACTACGTTCGCACACAATCCACGACTCACTTCTATCTCGATTTACCTACAATCTGGATTGTGACTATCGCTAGTCGAACGTCGTGCCGTTCGCACAGGCACTCCGCTCGAGAAGAACCTGGCTATTACACCCCATCATAAAACTGACGTAACTACGCGGTAAGTCACAAACACCAACAAACAAAATGGAAGTTTTGGTTAGAAATAAATACTTTTTCTTGCCGTACATCTAATAATAGACAGATGTCGTCGTCTCTCCAGACGTCTTTTTTATTTCTCCGTCGATGGCCCGACACGTGTTCCGCAGCCATCTTGTATTTTCTCGCGCGCGTGGGATTGTGGGATCTCTCTTATGACTGGATCTAGTTTCGAGAACTCTCTCCAGTCGAGAGCGTTCGCACCACGGAACAGTCTCCTACCTTAGTCACAATCTAGATCGAAATGCTCGGTGCGAACGGGGTATTAGGTAAAGAGTCATATACCGTTTAACGTATCGCACCAAATTTGGCACGAATAGTCTTCGACACCCCAGAAAAAAATACTACTGGATACCCTCTAAAACCCAGCCCTTAAGCCCGAACAAACGTTAACGTAGCGTTGCGCTTTCATTATCGTAAATATTCGGATCGATTAATATACATTCTAGTTAGTAAGACCTTTCTTTTTGCCACCCTTTCCCGACCCATTTAAACCCCCGAACAACATCGGCGCGCTCAGTTATTCTTCAACTCGAGGGGCGCTCCGTTCGTCAGGGAGATTGGTGCGTTTTCGATGACACTTGGTTTCATTGAGGAATATTTTGTCTATTGCGTTTCTCTTGACTTTATTTTTACAATGTTTAATTTAAAACTAACTCAATTATTACTACTAATGTCTGGAATTGAGCCGAATCCAGGCCCTCTTCAAAAAACGCCAACTAAAAGAGGAAGACCTCCTACGCAATCGTCATTCAACACTAAACCAGCTGAAGGTGAAACCAACTTAATTACCGAATATACTCAACAAAGAAGAGCAGAATCAACTACTTCGGTAAGTGAAAATTCTACTTTGAATCCTTTAATCGCAACTTCAGATATGGAAATATTGGACACTACAACCTCACTTCTCTGGACGAAGATAGTTGACTCGATTACGTCTAGTAATGAAAAAATAGAAAGTCAATTTGCTTTAATTCGCAAAGAAATTACCACCATTCATATTAGTGACTTTACTGGACAAATTCAAACTATTAAAGATAGAAATGATAAAATTGAATCTGAACTTAAAAAATGAGAATGAACTTGTACAATTTAGGATTGACGCCATGCGTAACAAACTAAATAATAATGATGGGAGTGAAGAGGAAATATTGAGGTTTTTAAATCATTCACTCAATATTCCATGCAAAATGAATGAAGAAATTAAACTAATCCGTAATATTCCTAATTCAAAGCTTAATATTAAATGTTTAATTTTAAAATCTGATCAATTGAGAAATGAGATATTTGATCACCTTTAATAAGCGGAAACAAACAATTCGTTGGGACCAGGGCAAAACTTAAACATGTCTGTAGATCCGGTTGTTAATTCTCGGAAAAGAAGAAAAGCTTTATTACCTTATTATATCGAATTAAAAAAACGAAATATGCAGGTCAAATTACGAGACGATTTTCTTGTAATCAAACAGAAAAAAGTAACTTATAGTTTTTTAACAAATCAATTGGTAAATGCAGAGGATTTTTTAGAATATACGACTTAAATAAGTCTGATAATTGTCAACCTCCTAAAATGCTCAATAACGAAACTGATGATAATAACAATCGAGAAAAATCTTATCTAAATATAATAAATTGGAATTTAAACAGTTATTAAATAATACTGATATAATGGGTTTAACAGAAACTTGGTTAACTTTGCCAGATAAAGGATAAAAAGATAAATATGTGGAATTTACTGTGTTATCGACCATGGCACATAAACCGGTTGGGCCCGGCCGTCCATATGGTGGCCTAAGTTTATTCATCAAGAAAAATATAGGTATAATTAAGAATATACAGAAAAATGATAACTATATATCAGTTATAATACAAATTACCAATCCACGTATACAATTCTTGTTAAACAGATTAATAGTCATTATATCGATTTATGTCCCTCCAGATCAACCGCAGATTTTAAATGATGTTTATAAACACATCGAACAATGGAAA